ATTCGACAGGGTTCCACACAGACGACTGATATCGAAGCTGCATTAAATTGGTGTGATTTGAAATCTACTCAAATGATTAGCCAACTCTCGTACAGGCAGGCGTGTTTATATGAGAAACACCAGATCAGAATGGAAAACCGCTTCCAGTGGGGTTCCATAGGGAGGCGTTCTGTGTTCCATTCTGTTTCTGCTACATGTGAACAGCTGCCTTATTTGCCTTACCTACGAGAAAGTAATTTTTGCAGACGATCTAAAGATTTGGAATTTAATCAAAATCTCGGAGGATGGGCAGTGTCTACAAAATAACTTGGATCGTTAGCAAAAGTGGTGTGATACGCGGCTACTGCACCTTAATTAAATTAATACCAAATCGTCCGCCTACCGTCAAGTTACAGAAAGGTAGTAAGATATGAGTACGGGTACTTCACCTGCAGTCACCAATTCGAGCAATAGAACGAACTGAAGGATCCTGATGTATGTATGACGCCCACATCCACACCATCAAATCACTGGGCCAAAACTGCAAAGAGGGCTATGGGCATTCCAGGAGCTATCAAAGTATCTTCCCTTCTTTTAATGCGAAGCATTTTGAGACAGCCATCGGAAAGTTTGTTGGGCCGATGTTAGAATATTGCGTCCAGGCGTGGTGCCTCTGGATGAAACAAGTTTACAAGAAGGGCGACCAAATTAGTCAGCGGCTTTGAAGGCCTACCACACGAGGGTCGACTAGAAAGGCTCAAATTTTTTAACTCTCTTACAGACTATACATAGGAGATGTTATCGTGTTCTCCAATCTCAACATAGCAGGAGGCTGTGCTTTTAAGTTGGCAGATTTTTTTTTGAATTGGCATAAACGTGATATCTCCGAGGTCATCCATACAAACTGAAAGAACACTATGCAAAAGTAGAAGTGCGAACCAACTTATTTTCCCACTGGTTCATTGGAGACTGGGACCAAATATTTTCTTTAGTTGTCATTGCTTGAAGCGTTGACGCATTTAAAAGAAGACTTGATAAACATTTACTTGATGGTCATACGTTCGGTAGACGGGAACGATTGATATAATGTACATATAAGGCTAAAAATATGCACGCTTTTGCAGAATCCACCTGTAATTGAGGCTTTAAACGGCTCTGCCTATCTTCCCTACATATATACCATATTATACTGAGCTTCGTCTTTGAACCTACAGCCACACACCCGGACATTTAAACCATTTAAGTTAACCAATCGGAAGTGTCGTTCCGCTCCAGGCCATGGCCAACACAAAGTCAATCTTAAAAAAGGCTAGACAGCTCTTCCAAGAACGATCATACGATCAAGTGCTCGAAGAACTTAAGGTTTTTATTTTCTTGCTGTTTTTGCACCACCCAGCAATGTTCTCTCTTTCTTCCAAGCAATGGTTTTTATTACAGATTTTTAATTCGCTAATGTAATACACTTTTTATTCATTTTGTGACATTTGGATTACGAAAATGCATGTTTTGTGCCAATTCCACAGCATTTATTTGCATCCTCACGTTTTTATATCTTGGTTACTGCATAAAATTGCTTCTTGATAGCAAAACCGATGCGCATTGTACAAGGCGCATCGATGGTACGCACCATCGATAGCGAAAACAAAGGTCAAGCGGTCTAGGGCATTCAGAAACATCTCTACAGTT